TTCCAAACCAATTATAAGGCTCTATTAATCATCCAAAGATTGTACAGGTGGGCTGAGAAAAGGGTACACCCTATAAAGTCCATATACTTTGGTAATAGAATTATTATATATCTGCATAAACAGGGGGAGCCACTGTAAGCATAGATGTATCTTTAAGAGAGCATTTATTTATTTTTCTGGAGGTTGGTTGTTCCATGTAACATCAGCTATACACCATGCTAAGTTTCCAGCTGGTTACGGTACCTACCTACCATTATCTTCAGTGCTTTGCTGGCTTTCCATGCCATTTAAAATACAGGCAGAGCATTTCTGCTTTTGGTTTTAGAACCATGAGTGATCCTCTTCCTCCTCTTCCACTCTTTCACCTGCTCTACTTCAAGGTACGGGTAATTTTTTTAAATCCTCTAAGATAGCAGGCTTGTCCTTGCCTTATAATTTTGCAAAGAATAAAGTTAATCAGCTCATTCACATGCCTGATTTTTTTCCAAATTAGGGTCCCTTCCAGCAAGTCAGTCTAAGTCATCAGCAGTGAACCATTCACTGTCTTAACCCATACTGCTTTTCACTGTCCAATATTTTGTTTATACAAACACACGTGGGGGGGGGATGAAGGAGTGGAATGGGAGAAGGGAGTGGTTTGCTTTGTGTCTTCCCTCGCTGGAAGTGTAAGCTGTGATTTTTGTGTTGCTAATTTCTCAAATACCAGACCTTAGGGTGACATCTGACGTGGATTCTGCAGCTAATATTTTTAATGAATTGCTGGAAATGTATGAATACACTCATGCCACATGCTCGGAACTCTGACAGACATCACTGATTGCGCCATCATTGGACTTGTGTTCTATTCTACTTGCTCCCTCCCCTTCCATTCACAGACAAGTTTCCTTCACTATTTTTGTACTTAGGGTAAACCCATTGCAATCACCCCATCCACTCAAATGAAATAGTTGCTTCCAACAGTTTCCAGTTATTTACAATTTCCTAACTGCCAAGTCTGATGTATTTCATAGGCTTCCTCTTAGGTTATAACGTGTCATTAACTTTTTTCTTCTTTTTTCTGGTTCTTTGAGGTGGGCCTCATATAGCCTGGAGCTTGCTGTGTAACTGAAGCTGGCTTTGAACTCCTGATCTTCCTGCCTCTACCTCCTGAGTACTGGGATCGCAGGTGTGTGCCACCATGCCCAACCAATGAATAACTTTTCACAACTTTTTCCTTTAAAAAATTACCGTATCTCCTTGGGTTTTGTTTTCTTCCTGTATGCTATTAGCTACAGTTTTATATCAAAACGACAGCCATTTTTTAGATGAGGAAAAATAGTTCTGTGCAATAATATACTGACTTCCTGGTGTTTTACTACCCAAAAGAAAAGTCTAAGCCACTGCAGTGAGACTTGCCTGCATATGTACATCCCTGTTAAAACTATTTAATAGTTTTTAGAATAGTTGTGGTTTTCTTATATCCTAACTGGTAGTAGCTGAGGTTGTAATAGCTGTTTTGTATACCGTGATCATTTTCAGCAGAAAAGACTGTTGAGGTTTTGTTTTCCTCAAATTTGATGATGAATTGTTGGCTTGATTGAATTAATAGCAATTAGGGACTTAGTAAGGCACACCTGGGTGTCTGGGGCTTAGATCTTTGATTCTGACCTACCTAAAGAATGCTTTAATGCATCAATAGAGTCAAAATTGAATAGACTATTGGGAGGTGGTGGGGCTGTGGAAGGTAGAGCATGTTTGGAGAAAGTCAGTTAAGGTTAGAAGGAGTGTGTCCTTGGAGGTTCTGTCTTCCCCTGGCATCTTCCATTACTGTTCTGCTTCCTGTCTGCCTTGTTTCGAGCTGCTGTATGCACCCTCCCTACAATGATGGACCAAAGTCTCTGGGACCGAGCAAATACAGCTTTCCTCCCATTTAAAACCCCAAAATTACCCTTCCTCCTAAACACTCTCCCTTTCCTTTCTTGCTCATGCTTCTCAAAATAATAATATGCACTTCCTCCCTTTTTTCAATTTTAATTCAGTCTCATACTGAAAATGCATCAAACACATGTAGAATTTAAAAATTAGCTATATAATGCATTTTTTTCTGTGTGTTTCCCTTCACTCCTCATCCTGCTCTTTACCCTCCCAGACTCTCACAGTAAGACCTCTGTGAATGGTTGTACTTGTGATGGCAGCGTCTCTGTGCTGGTGTTGTTAGGCTTGTGTTGTACTTGGCAGTGTGGGTCAGACCTTCCCTGAAACTCTCCTGAGGCCTGGGCTTCTGTCCTCCTGTGTCTCCTTAGCTTTGACCCCTCCCTTCTCTGTCTTTTTCATGAGCCTCTGTCTTCCCCTGCCATGTTGTTGTCTCCCAGGCTCCAGCGCGAGTCCACTATCACCCCACACTAAACTCTAAACATCAAAATCTCTAAGGATTCTCTTACCTAAGAGCTCTTTTAGAAGGGTTGAGGCTTTGGCTTTTCCCCTAACATGTATTAAACTCTCACAAATGTTTATGTTGCAGACCAAACCTGGACCACCTAAAAAACCAAAGACCCCTTCTGGACAATCAGCGTTAGTGTATTGCTACAACTGTGCACAGAAAGGCCACTATGGACATGTAAGTTGAGTGGCTACTGAAAAATGAACTCAAAATGAATAAAACTCAGAACAGTTACTTGTTTATAAGCTAAACTTCAGTGAGAAGATTTGATGTATTTTCAACTAATTTACTTCTCTCACTTACACCAAGAATAACTGTCAAAGCATATTCCTACAGTTCTTTTAAATATACCAGAAACAAATTTAGCCCATAAAGTTAGTCAGACAAATTCAGAAGCAGCATAGAAAGTGTCCTCTCAACCTATGTTGACTGTACTGAACTGTTTATCGGGTTTCCAGCTTAGATCTTTAGCTTTCCCCGATACCACATTCACTTAAGTCTTTGTCATGCAACCTCTGACATTCAGTAGTAGGAAGACAGAGAGAGGTTACAGCATTGGTTCACACACTTACTCCCCAAGCCCATAACTTCCCTCCCAGCTGATACTGTGCCAATCCAATCTAAAAGGCCCAAACTGTGTGTTCCAGGTGTGAGAGCAAAAGAAACTGCCTATTGTAAGGTGGATGAATGTCCTCCAGTCACATTAAACACGAAACAATAGCAGCTCTCCCTGGAGCTAAGAGTCAGTAGGAATAGGCTTACCATCCTTACTTACACTGTGGAGACTCTAAAGTCGAACAGGAGAAGCAGTGGCACAGGAACCAGAAATCCTTGTGCAGGGGGCTCCCGTTCTCCACACAGGCTCCTGACAGCCAGGTAGACATCAGCCAGACCGTGTCAGGAGGAAGAAAACCTGCAGAGGCCCGGGACTTGTCAGAGGAGAAGTAGAAAGGCAAGTGGTAGAGTAGGAAGTGTTGCAGGCTATCTCTTTAACCCCGGCTATGGCATCTTTCCAGACCAGGCCTTGGCAGGACCACAGATTCAAAGAAAAAAGTGCTAGGCAGAGCCTGTGAACAGTTGAGTTTGTCTTCCATGTTCAGGCAGCAGGGACCAGGGTGGGTGGCAGGTAGAATGTGAGCTGGGCTGAAGCTCAGACGCTCAGGGGTCATTTTTCACTCTGTTTATGACAACCAGATGATGGAACTGCTCTTTTTTCCCCCTCTGGCATTCAATCCTTATCTCCAAAACAAAGGTGTGCAGCACTGACATTCAGATGCAGTTACATTCCTAATGTGATCAAACCTACTGATAGGTAGCAAGATCCTATAGCATACCTGACTTCACCTCTGTATAATTCAGATTGAAAAACCTAACTATAGAAGGTTCTTTTCGGAAATTACCATCTCCAGGTCGTCTGTTGCCCTCTGCACACCAACTGTTGCCAGCAACTTTAGGAAACAGACTCATATTAGCCATCCACTGCCACACACATTACACAGGTGTTTAATTTATACTCTTGAGTTTAATTTAAATGCCAGAGTATACTTCTAGCATTTATGTTTGATCTGTTAAAGAAAAAGTTACTGTGGGATGCTTCCTGCTTACTAGTTACTACTGTTACTATAGATGGGAGTATCGAGAGCATTTGGAAGTTATCCCTGAACTCTAGACTTAGGCAAATTTCAATTTACAGTAATTGGCAGCCATAGCTGAAGGAACTCTAGATTATCCACCACTAATGAAGAAGATCATTGGTGTGGCTAATCCAGAACAGAAGATAAATTATATAGCCAGCTATCAATTATCTGTGTTAATAGAGGAGACCAGTGATGTGGATAATCAAAATATAATTTACATGTAGCTTTGAAAAACATTGTGATACAATATAGCTCTGTGTAGTTACATCCGTCTAGATAGAACAGTACCCAAATAGGAGGCTACCCCAGTGGTAAAAGATGTCCAAGCTCCCCTCCCTGTCAGTTTCAGAGATCCAGCCCTCAGCTGTTGTTACTGAATCACTTCATATTGCCCTCCCCTAATTCCATTCATCTTAGCTAGAGAGGCAAGGGCAGCAGTGGGCACTGAGGAAAAGGAGGCTGGTTGCAGGGAATGTGGGAGGCTGAGAGGGATGGGAGGGTGTAAGGGTCTGCTGGCGTGCTTACCAAGTACCAAGATCAATCACTGGGACTTTTGATATAACCGTAAGTTGATCCTTTCATTGATTTATATGGTGAACCAGCTGAATTATGTGTGGGTATTTCACATGCTGTTTAAGGCATTCCGATTTTCTTGAATACTTGGCTAAGAAATGCTAGCATCTGTAAATAAACTTTAGGCAAGATGAGAGAAGAAGAGAAGGTCTCAAAGGAAAGACTCTGAAAGAGAGTGTCCCTCTTCTCTCCTCATCTGTGTCCATTGGCATCACCTAGTATACAGAGGAAAAGTTAAAGCTGAAAGACAGAGACTGGGCAGTAGACCTAGGAGACCAGACATAGGAGAAGTGACTAAGAAGAGAGTCTCCACTGGTTGAGGGAGTAAAGAACAGAGGCTTCCTTGAATTACCCAGGAACTTTTTTCTAAGTAGATATAGCTCACCACCCACCTCACATTATCCCAGGGACAGAGGGGGCAGATGGGAGGTGATAGAGGGGAGGAGCAAGAACAGAGAGCAGAAGGGAGCTAAGGATATGCCCAATTATACAGGGTACCCATGAGAAAGGGTTAGCTAAAGAAAAAGATGGTGTGTCTAGAGAAAGAACAAAGAGCTAACAGTTTACAGCCACAGCTTGAGGCTAGAAAGAAGGAAAGGAAGGAACATGTGATGGGAAGGCCACTAGAGAAAGCAGACAAGAAAGGACAGATAATTCTCATTATGCTGAGGAACTGCAGCAGAGGACAAGACAAATGAAGGGCGCCCACCCCTCAGGGCTGCTAACCCAGCTGGGGAAGGAGCTCAGCTAGCAGGGTGTACAAAAAGGGAAAAGGTTCCTTAGTCAAGAAGGGAAGAAACCCAGGCCTGCAGGAATAGCATAGCCGCATAGTAGGACTATCGGGCTCGGGTGGTCAAGAAGAGGATCCCAACAGCCTCTGTATGTGGTGCTAATTGTGTGGGATTCAGTACTACCAACGTAGCCCAAAAGCTCATGGGAAGGTTTGTTGACCAATGCAACCTTGTGATGTCATTCTTTCAAATACAATTGTAGGAATGTACAGAAAGGCGAATGTTTAACCAGACGTTTCCAACATCTCCGTTCATATACTACTATGATGACAAATATGAGATCCAGCAGAGAGATCAGAGAATAAAGCGAAAAGTGAAAGGTTTGTCATTAAACTTCTGATTAGATCACTTTTGCAATAACTCCCTAATTTATTCTTTTTATATACTGTCTTTGTCTATTTTAGGAGTCATTGGTTAGCACAGAAAACACTTTTTTTTAATTATTTTTTTTTTTATTTTACATGTGGACAGAAAACATTTTTTTATAATTATAAAAACTAAAACTTTCTTGAGCTGCAGAAACCAACCCTCTACTTCAAAAATCCTATGTTGTGCTGGGCGGTTGGTGGTGGTGCACGCCTTTAATCCCAGCACTCAGGAGCCAGAGGAAGGGGGAATCTCTGTGAATTCAAGGCCAGCCTAGTCTACAGAGCAAGTTCTAGGACAGCCAGGGCTACACAGATAAAACCCTGTCTCAAAAACACAAGATAAAATAAGCTCCTGTGTTGCAATTAATCTATTCACAATTACTGTTTTTCTCAGAGAGCATTTTAGAAAATCTTGAGAGTGTTTTTTTTTTTAATCTGTCTATGCAGAGAGTTAAAGATTCCTTTGAAATTTTTTACTTGACAAATATGCATTCCCCTTTGTATGCCTAATATTTCTCATGGAACGGAAGGGTTTCTGGTGACTCCTGGGGCTTCCCCCGCAAAGGGCTCCAGGCCCACAATCACCTCAGTGCCTCCGAAAAGCCCTGGCTGTTCTTCCAGAGGACCTGAGTTCAAGTCCCATGATGGCCCACAACTGTCTGGACTTCAGCTCCAGGAGATTTAACACTGCAGCACCTACATGCACAGACTCACATGCAGACATTCACACCTACACATAGTTAACCTAGAATCGCACTGGCCACTGAATTCTGATTCTGAGCATTTTTAACTTTTTTCCTGTTTTTGACTTTAGATTCTCTTGAGTTTAGGCCCTTTTCAAAATGATGATACTACTTCTCATCTGCATAGCTTATATACTTAACATAAAATTGCTCTCAACTGTAGAGAAATTACAGCATACTAAACTAGAAAGATTACCAAGAAAAGCATGACAGTGTCAGCGCTGAATTGCAGATTATGGCTGCTCTCTGCTATCTCCAGTGTTTTGGGGTCTGTTTTATTTTCTTGGGTTTTTTGTTTGTTTGTTTTTGGAAACAGGATTTCTCTGTACAGCCCTGGCTGGCCTGGAACTCCCTCTGTAGACCAGGCTGGCCTCAAACTCACAGAGATCTGCCTGCCTCTGCCTCTTGAGTGCTGAGGTTAAAGACTTGTGACATCACTGCCTGGCTGATGTATTTTCTTTATAATTTAGGTTTTTTTAGGTTTTCTACAATGAGCACTTATAAATTGTAATCTACTAAAAATCATTTTTTTCTTTTTAGCTAGTTTTGACAACTCTAATATTTATCCCCTTTGAGGCTCACTGTGATCCTTGGAAGGTCTTGTTTTATGCTTAATTAAGCTGAATGTTTTTACTGACCACTTGTGTACTATTCCAAGGTTCTGTTAGTTTTTCACATCTCACTTTGGCCTCAGCCACCACTTGCTGCTGAGCATTTCCATCAGATGCTCATAATAAATGTGTCAGGCCCTAACAAGAGACAGCGTCATCTGTCACTGAGACCTCTAAGGTGTGCACTCAGGAGCACGTGCATCCAGATTCCACCCCACCCAACAGCCACTTCCCTGGAGGAATAATGCCTTGGGCAGTGAGGCGCCTCTCACAGAGATGGCCAGATTATGCTCAAGGGTAAGGTCATGTGAGACGTCCAACAGCCATTTTTTATCCTCTCAGGCCAACCCTTCATCACTGGAGGAACTTGAGCCAAGCAGATGTGTCTCTTTTTTTTCCACAGGGATGAGATAATGACCATGCCTTCTGCTCTAGTTTTCATTGTTTGGCATTATAAAAATATGTTGAATAGAATAAATTACATAAATACTAAAGGATTTGAGGATATTTCCACATTTTAGCAATACAATTGTAAGGGCTCTTTAGAATGCTGTATTGGTCACATACAGCCTCCTCTGTCTGCTGAGTTATTTCTACAAATACAAGAACTCTACATGGACTAAAGAGGCAAAATACTTTTATATCTTCCAGAAATCCAGAAAAATGGAGATTTTCCAAGGCAGTTCAGAAGACCACACATGGAAGAGACAGATAAGAGGGGCCACCATGATGTGAGAAAAAGCCATTCCTCAAGGAAGAGCAGCAGGTGGCCTCGAGAAAACAAAGAAACCCGCAAAGAAGTGACCAGGGATAGAAAACGTGAGAAGCACAGGGGGGCTCACCGGCATGCTGATGTGGATGAAGACTTCCCTAGGGGTTCAAGATCCCAGTCCTCTGGCAGTGTTGCAAACCAGAAGCCATCCAGGTTCCATCACCGTTCATCCCATTACCACAGGCTGAGAGAAGAGAGGCTTCTCAGAGAGAGCAAGCGCAGCAAGCCGAAGAAAAGGAAATGCACGGAGGATGACAGCAATGATAATTTATTTCTTATTAAGCAAAGGAAGAAGAAAACGAAGCTGTGAGGCGGTTTCTGGCCTGGTCTCCGTGTTACACCATTCTGGCAGCGTTCTATTATCTGTTAAATGAAGGGAGGTTTGGGGCTTTGATTGCTTAATTTCATCCATACCTAGAGTTGCTAAGCAGAGGCCACAGAGAGTTCCGTTCTGTGTTCGAAGTCTGTTTATTAGGTAGGAAGGTAAACATGGATCTCAGTTCCTGTGGCAATTCTACTTCAGGTAGGAAAACTGTCTTCTTAAGAAAACCTTTTATAAATACTTTAAAAAATTACAAGCTTTTCAGCTATAATTCATCTGCCATGTTTGAGGACTTTAAAGCTCATTGGAAGAGAGATTATTACTAATATAAAATCACCTTTTTAGTGTTTTTTTTTTTTAACCACTGGAAATCAATGAAAATCCAAATACAGCTTTGCTTGCTTCAGAAGCTGTTGGAGTCTCTCTGGACAGACATCAAAGGCTAGCTGTGAAAAGGGAGCTGTCACTATTGAAACCTGGAGGAGGCGGAGGAGAGGCAATAGCAGAATGAATGCAGGATCTGCAGTGTGGGCATGCAAGACAGATTTCCTGAGACACATGGAGGCATCCTCAAAACTTTAGCATAATCACAGTGAGACTGTTTTTATCAGTTTACAGCTGTACTTCAAGAAATAGAGATGAATATTACCCAACTGAATTTGTTTCATGGATCTTTTCGAATACCACAAAGCTATTCAGAATCTTTTGTACTTGTGAACCTTTTTTATAATTGTGAAAGCCTAATGTTAGAATAAGAAAAATAAAATGTCTGAAACAGTGAGTACATGTGTTTGCTGTTACCAAAGATAGAGCATAGTTGCATTGGACAGGTCACTGCAGTCATAAAATCCACCACAATCTTGAGTCAGAAATGCCTTTGTCTAGAGCTGGAAAGGTACCCCAGCAGTTCAGAGCGTATATTGCTCTTCCAGAAGACCAGAGTTTTGTACCCAGCCCAGGATAGGCAGCTTCAGGGAACCCAACACCTCAGGCCTTCATCCTCACTCACATGCACAATACCCACACACAGAAATATACACATGCACATAATTGAATAATTACAAAATTTTTAAATATTGTCCAAACATAAGCTCTCTGCCAGAATAAACTGGTATGAGATCAAAAATATGACAATTTTTATAATGTTGGATTCTAAAATTTTATCTTACTCTTGGTTAAATATGCAACTGTTGTGTCTATAGTTGGGCCAGCTGTTCCCTTTGGAGAGAACTCTCTGTTCCCAGTGGACCATAATATGAATTGTCCACACTCTCCCTTTCGCTGTGTTCCTTCTGGCCGAGTTGATCGAGGCTGAGTTGGGACTATGTAGAATAACGTCAGGTGAAGGAGCTTGGATTGGACTAGAGGTAAGAAACTGGAATCTCTTGGAATGATGCTGGGCCTGGAGAGTTCTCCGTGATTAAGGGCACATGTTGCTCTTGAAGACAAGGCAGGATCAATTCCTAGTACCCACGTGTGGGCTCACAGCCATCTGCTCCAGTCTGAGAGGATCCGATGCCCTCTTCTCATCTCTGAGAACACCAGGAATACACGTGATGCACATACATGCATGGCAGGCAAAACATTTGTATACATAAAGTAATAAAAATGTTTTAAAGAATGGTAAACAATGCAAAATCGGGTATTGGGGATAAATAAGTACAAAATTGTGGGGTAGGAACAAAGGAAGTCAGTGGAAGAATGAAAGTTGAAGTCTTGTGGGACATGGGTGTAAGGTCACTGAAATCAAGACAATCCCAATACCCTTAAGCCTAAAGCAAGAGAGATTCTGAATGGGAGGCCAACCTAGGCTAGGCTACACAGAAAGTTACTAGGTTATAGGCACCATCGCCAGGATCAAAGTACAGCCCAGACCCAAGTCTTAAAGTAGATCTCACTATTTTAAAGAAGCAACCAGTGATTGGAAGATGTGGTCTACATACCATGCTGGGCAGAGCCTGGGCTAAAGCTGTGCTATGTGATTTGGGCCACAAGTTTCACTCTTCCCAGAGAGAGTAGTGTTGCACATGCCCACCATGACAGTAAACTGGGATTAAGCTCAGGGATTTGGGACCCAAGCATAGTCCTGAGTATTTACGGTAAAGGTGTAGTGAGATATTCACTACAGACCACGTCCATTGGGGGCTGGGGACCGGAGCAGATGTGACCTGGGGGAACTAAGGCTGAGGAGGGGGGCTCGGAGAGCTCTTGCTTGCAGCCTGGGGACAGGAGAACATCCAGGGGCATCCTTGGGACCAGGAACCTGCTGTTGTCCATCTGTCTTTTGTTGTAAGTTATTTCTCCCTGAATAAACATCCGTTCGGCCTATTTGTTTCTCCTGATCCTTATTAAACCTCAACATAAAGGGGTTTGTAAAGACAACAAAAACAAAACAAAAACCCACTTCCAATTGACTATGAACTGAGTAGTCATCTCTGGTGGGTTCCCAATAACACATCTAACATGGAAGAACTCTGGCTTTCTCCTGGCTTACAAAAGTTGCAAACCTCATTAAGTTCTGTGAGGCACTACCCTGGCCTGAACTCTACAGTGATGACCCAGATGTGTACGTGTCATGCCATCGGGGCTGTAGCTTGTGCGGGAGACACCCCACACAAATGAGTTCAGTGCTTCAAAGAACAGGGTTCTAGATGTAGAGAATGGGCTAAGACATCAGTTCATAAACCGAAGAGAGAAAGCCACCTCAGTTCATAGCCCTGCTCCCAGAGCGCAGCGTGGGGGCTGACACAGCAGACGCTAGTAAATGGTTTAACTGGCTGGCTCACCCTGCTCTGTGTGTGACATTACCAAAATGGGGATAACTGAAATGGCAGGCGGGGGCGGGGCCACATGGGGGGGGTTATGCGTAAAAATGGAAAGAAAGCTGGACGACAGTGAAGATACAGTCAGGAAAGCTGTGTAAGGGAATGAGGGTGAACCACCTATAATGCCAGAGTGAAAACAATCCTCACAGAACACCTTTCAAGCTCCAAGTCTGCAGCCCTGTGGCAGAAGCCTGGTCTTACCTGCAGGAGGTCCCAGATACAAGGGAGGAAGGGAGGGAGGGAGGGAAGGAGCGGGAGGGAGGGAAGACAAAAGCAGAACACTGTTCTCCCAACCAAAATCCACTTCTCAGAACATCTTCCCAGCAGCCTTGGGATCAGTGTTTTGGCTGAACAACCATAGCTTCGCCACGATGACATATAAACTTAGAGGAGAGCGAGCACAGTTGTCCTCTCCATGTCGGGGCTGTGGAGGAGAGTGGACCAGGGGCCAGAAGGAGCCCCTCTGGGTCCTCTTGGATACTCACAACCCTGGATACCACAAGTGTTGCTGTGGTTAACCAAGCACCTCAGAACACACCACCCCAGTGCCCTCCAGCACGGGTGAGAAACAGCAGAACCCCTAAAGCTAGAACCGACCTCATGCCCCCTCATGCTTCCTCGCAACCTTCACTGGCCACGCTGGCCCGGTTCATCTCTCTGAGAGGATGCCAGACTTCCTCTCATCCCCTCACTGCATCCTCCACACCCACGCAGTGGATCCTCAGAGACTTGGGGACCTATAGGCATCCTGGACAAGTCATAGGCCACCAGCCACTTCTCTTCAGTGCCTATAACCAGTTAATCATCTCCCCTGGGGATTTGCATGACCGCCCTCCTGCACTTGACTGCTCGGGGAGTTTTCTGGTTTCTCACCTCAGTTAACTCTGGGTCACTCTGGATCCCCACACCAGAACTAGGCTTGAAATCCCGCCTACCTGTGCTTCAGGGGGCTCCCATCTTTTCTTGGTCGTTTCTTTGCCATCAGCAAGCCAGGCTGTAACCACCATCTCACGAGGATGGGGAGCGCTGTCAGCCTCACTGGGACTTGTGACATTCTTGTCAGAAACAAAACTACAAAAGATGACCGACCTATACTACTCTGTGCCCTTCTCCCTGTTCACACAGCAAGACACGCATGTCCAAATCAGGACTGGAGCCCTTCCCACCTGCCTTCTGCCTCTCTCTGCTGAATGTCAACAACAGAAAATAGTTTTGAAAATTCCAACAGGTCAGCAGTATGGAAAAGATTAAATATGGAGCCTCAATGACCTGATCCCTACAGACACCTGTGCAGGTGGTAGCTCCCTGTGGTAACCACCACACAACATGAACTGGGCAGTAGTGTGGGAACCCAGAGTAAGAAGGATCGGTTCCCAGGCCTGAGAAAGGCTACTGAGCAGAGCACCCCTGGAGTGACAATTTCCAGATTCACGGCATAGAACTAAGGAACAGATGAGCACAGGGTTCAGATGCCAGACCTGGGGTGGGAAGCAAGCCAGAGAGGGTGCAGGCCAAGGAAACATGATGCCTGCACGACCTCAGATCCTTGGGGCCAGCACCCAACACTTGTCACCTACTGAGGTCTCCAGGCCAAAGAAACTGCCGCCACACAATATCCTATAGGCTGGAGGGCTTTCCAAGATTACCAGTTCCAGAAGCCACGCAATGGCCAGATGCAGCCTCCCATCCCACAACGAGTTGGAGACAGGCCCAGGCCCTTGGCTCTCTATGTGGGACTTTTCGTATGACTGGGAAATGGGGTGTGGGGCCAGGATCGATGGTTGGATGTTGAGCTTTTGAAGCTGGGCCTTCGAGGCTAGTGAAGCAGAAACATCACGGAGCACAGGTGTTACACTGCAACAACAGGCTGAGACACCAAAAGGAATCCAGTGTGGCAGTAAGGAGAAAGAGAGGCTGTGAAAGTGAAATTTGCCATTTGTGAGAGGAGGAAACTGAAACTGTGTTCTCCAACCCATGCAAATCACCCGTGGCCTTTGTCTGCACCTGCAACCGCTCACAGCACACATACCACCCAGGCTCCGGTTCCCACAGTCTGCACTGGGGCTACGCAGCAAGTGCGAGGGACAGGGTTCCCCCTCCGTGGTGGGCAATCCTTGGATACCCAAGCAGTACTTGGAGGGGTTCTGCCCTTCCGAGGGCTGCTGGATTTACAGCAGCCTCTTCTGTAGGCTGGCCAAGATGGCGGTTATTAAGAATGACCCTGTTAAAGACAACATTCCAGCCTCCGCCAGCTCCCACACCGCTTCTGCTCACCTCAGCCTCTGTGCCTTGGGTTCCAACTCTAGAAACCTTACTCTTTAGCGGGAATTTGCTTTGTCCCTGTGGTTGCTGCTGGAAATGCCCATCTTCCCTACTCCCCTCCCCTGCAAGAGGCTCCATGGGAAACTTCCCTCCCCCTCCAGGCACCATCACCATCTCTCAGCCTGGCCTCCTACCACCATGCACTCACCTCCTCACCCTAGGCCTTGGTTGATTTTCATTCATCCAGCACAACCTCTTTCATGCAGCCCACCCCCAACACGCTGGCCTCTATTTCATAGGACCATCCTGATGCTCTGCCTGGAGCTAGGCACCACACCTCTAGATCCCAACCAGCCAAAAAAGACCTCCCTAACAAGTCACCGGAATCACATATCTGCCCTTCTTGTCTCAGAGGCCACTGGGAATAAATGAATGACTGTAACAGATTGTCTTTTCACAATTCTCCATTCCCTACCCTAAGCAACTCAGTGTCCATGGTCTTCTAGGCACTGGGCATACATACACAATACCCATGACAGACATGTCAGTACCAGACAGGAAAGCGAACCATGATGCACAAAGGACGTGTCATGCCATCCTGAAAGACAGGACCAGTGCCTCTGCTGAGACAGGAAGGAGCATGGGTGTTCCTAAGAGCAGGGCGGGGCCACCCCAGGCAGCAGAAGGAATGTGC